GTCCCAATGAAAAACGTCGCTCTTTGATAGCTAACATTGTCTATTTAACATCACAATAATTCATTATTAGACCTATAGTTGTTTTTTGAATTGTACTCCACAAATCTCAGCCAATACCTCGCACAACTGGCTAACGTCTGTATCTATTGTCGTGACGTCATGGCTCGCTGGCTCACACTTGTGATATGTCTCGCACTTGTGATCAAATAACACGCTGGCTCGCACTTTGGCAACACTCTTTGGCAGTCAACTCGCCCCTAGAAAACCCGCCCTTGGAAACTTGCCCCATAAAAAATGTAACCTTTGGTAATCAAGTACATTTTCCACATACATAGAAATTTTTGAAACTTTATTAAAAAAAACCTAAACCATAATTCACCACACTATAGACACTTTTTGACAAAAATGAAAACTTACGACTTTGTTACCTAATGAGAAGTGTTCTAATATAGACAATGGGTCGTGTCTCATATTATTTGTTATAGTTTTATTATTCATTATTTTCACTTGACTCGCATAAATAATTTTGTACAAAGAACATTTATATGCAGTTGTACTTCGCAGCACTTCACTTGCAATTTGCAATTTCTAGTCTACTGTATTATAGTGGTTGATTTTAGGCTCAAATATTTTAAAGCTCATTTACTCAATACTACTGTAATATGCCTAAAATATTTAATGTAAGAATGAACACATTTGATCTGTTACATTCATTATTTAATTATAAATGAATGATTGAATTGTGTTAATATGCCAATGATTGATGGTCAATAAATGTATGATATTGTAGTTGTGATTATGATCGAATCTAGATTTACGCACAGAATCTTGCCGGTTACGTCATTCAGAGGCGGTAATAAAATAGTGTGTCGTAATTTTATGTGTTGTATAAGGCAGGTTGAACCGTATTTGCTTCGTGGTGGCCTATTTACTGTCTGTCCTGTTAATTTTTACGAGTTTACTTGTACAGGGAGTACTAATACAGGGAGTACTAATCACAATAAACAGACTGTGAAATTTAATTAGTAAAGAAAAAACAAATATAAAACAGAATTAATGTAGTAAAAAAAGACCTGAAAAAATTTATTTTTAGCATTTTTGAAAAAATTCCAATTTGAGGCATGTCGTGGCGAAATGGTTAAGGTGTCACACAGGCCAGTATTGGGTAAATGAGCTATAAAATATGGGAGTTCAAAAAATTGCCTAAAAATCCAAATTATAGATCAACAGTTTAATGTCTTATTAATCATGTCCCAAAATATTAGTTCTAGAAGTGGTCAACAAATCTTTTATTAAATATTATTTAGATAGTTGTCCAATTTCAATGAATGACCCCTCATTTTAAAGATCACATACTCAGATATCTAAAAATTCCAATAACTTGAATTTCAATTTTTGCTACAACTTAGCCATTTTGCCAGAACATGCCTCATTTAATGTGGTTTGTTAGCCCCATCAGGTTCAGTAACGAGACCTCTGATATAATTGTACAACTACAGTATGTTAAACCAACTTGCTACATTGCACAGATGTTATTTCCTTTATATTGTACTCCTTCTTGTACTGCAGTATGGGCCTACAGTATTTTGTTCTCTGTTGCATTTCATAAGATCATCTTGCTTGAACTGGTAATTGAGAATGTTAGACAGGCCCTCTAAAAAATATTATGGTATTAATTTATCACCCTACTCTATCTAGTCTGGAAAAGTCATGAGGGAGGCAGGCTTTTTATTTTTATTTTTTATTTTCTTTAAGCCAAATATCACCCTTAGGTTGTTTGCTGGTAGATTGATGTTCAAAGTATAATACATGATTGAAATGTACAAACAATTAATGGTTTTCCAATACCATAGAAGACATGCGGGCTAGGGTGATAAACTAATCATTTTTTTTATTGGGCATATCAACATGCATATAGTCCAAGTGGTATCCTCCTTCTAATCACCTACATTGGGTTTCTATCCTCATGTTTTATTGTTTACTTGATCTTCTTAATAATCTTGATTTTACTAATAATAAGGCCCAAAAAACAATTTTTATGTTGCCCAACCCCAAACCGACCCAAAACATTTGACTAAATATTTCTGATTTCATTTCTGGTTAATAGATTCCAAAACTGTCGCCCTGCCCCCTGTGCAGAAATCATTGATTTGACCCTGTTGCTAATAATAGTTATGGTACAGGAATGTGAGGACTTAACAATGACTTAACACTGGGTTACCATAGGTCACTCGAGTGTACAATAAGGGATGATGTATTAAAATGTTTACATTTTCCTTTAATTTTTTTTGTTTGTTTTTATTTTTTTATTTTCTGGTATGTACTGTTTTTGCATGCAATTACATTTTAAGAAAGATATTTTCCACAGAAATACTTATAAAGGAAGGTAAATGTAGATAGATAAAAAAAATAGTTACAAATGAAATTTCAATGAAACACCCTGAATTAATTGATTTCTTATTCTGTTTTTTTTTTGTAGGTTTAAAAAGTTACTAAGAAAAATATTTGACTTTAATTCATATTAATCAATTTTAATGAATTGTGTTTTTTGTATAATGATAGTTTTATGTTCATTAATAATCGATTTGCTGTGTAGTATATAATATAACATGTATTTGATAATAATAAAATATAATATATTTTTATATAATTTTCAATACTGTACTACCTTTTTATAATTAGTTATCTCAATAATTTACTGTAGGCTTAAATTTTTTATATTGCATTTTGTTTGTTTTATGTCTATATGGTAGACACTGTGTGAACTAAAGAAATTTTCAACTTTTGTTGCATTTTGAGTGTTTTATACCAAATAAATAAATAAAAAATAAATATTTACTTAGGCCTGTTTATTCATGACTTATTAGTATTTCCATTATCTGTGTTTCATATCATACAATACTTATTTTAGAAACTAATACTTAATTATTTATTCATTATTTATTCATTATATCTTAGTATTTTAATCCTTCTAAATAATTTATTAATGAATGCATTAGATATGAAATCAAAGAACAAGGCTCCATTTAACATTTCAAAGCAATTTTTTTATTTGTATTTAGTATTACTTATATAATGTTTATTATGATTATTGGATGTACTGTAATAATATTGTTTGTTGTATTAAATATTATATCAAGAAGTGACTTCCTACCACCCACCCACCCTTGAAGCACAATCCTTGAATTATTGGTAGCATTAGTGTTCTGGCTGTTTTACTGTCTCCTCAACAAAATTCATCTTGTAACATCTACAGTACAGCTGGTCCTGACCTCCAAATCTATTACACATAAATTCTCAATGTAATTGGGAAGCCATGAATAACCCAGTCTTCTGATCATGCACTGGGACTGCGAGTAATCCGGCCATTTGCTCACATACTGAGACAGCTAGCTGGAAGCCTATCGACGGTCGCCACTGTTATTGATATAGCCATAGGTCTTGCGGTATGCATGCCTTTTATTATGTTTTGTAATTAGTCTCTGCCAGTCAAGTAGAGTGTAGATCGATCAGTGGATTGTGAGGAAAAATAGAGGCTGGTAATGATGATGTCATAGGGAAATCCCCTTGATTAGTAATCTTTTGAATTTTATTGAGCTGGTATGTTATGAGGGGAAGACACCGCATGTTGTTAGTAGTTTCGGTTTTGATGATCTTGTGTAACATGCTGGTAGCAGATTATAAGCTATTGTAAATGTTGTTATTTTTTAAATACTAATGTTAAAGGTGGGCGGTGTGTTGTGACAATAATTTCCTGCTCGTGGTTTTACGCAGTGACGTCGTTATTAGCATTATTACCGGTATCTCCTTTTGTGTGGGTGTTAAGGAATACCTCTGAATTAAAACTTCAAATTTAATTCTATTTCTGGATAGATATTATTAATAGCAGAATAATTCATTTTTAGCTTTCATTAGAAGATCGCGTCTCGCCGGTGATGGTATTATTACGTTATTGAATTACTTACCGATTGTTTTTCTAGCCATTGTTTATTTTCTTAGCATATTTTCAGATTATCTTCATGCATATTGAACGTATAGTGTTATAGGAATATGTGGCACAGCAGTAAGGATGTAGGCTTCCAGTAAAAAAGGAGTGGGTTCAAGTTTTAAATCAAGCAAAATAATTCATTTTTTAGATTTCATTTAAATATCAAGTCTCGTCAGTGATGATATTAATACATTTTATTGAATTATTATCTGTTTTTCTAGCCAATTGTTTAATTTCTTAGCATATTTTTAGATTATCCTCATGAATTGATGTATAGTGGGTTTGAGTTTTAACTCGAGTACTTGCTCATGTTCTTGGGCAAGGCACTTTATTTACATTTCCGCTCTCTGCTCAGGAGAAAGTGGGTACGTGGTAAGTTTAATAGCCAATGCACTGATTGCTAATTGCAACACTATGAAATATTTCCCAAGGGATATAAGTATGTGGTGTATTGCATTTGATCCAATGACCAGGTTTCATAATGTGAAATCCCTAGAGGCCTTGGAATGACTTGCATGTTATTATTATTATTTTCTCACTTTTTTCGAGTGATTGGAACTAACAGTTATCTTAGCAACTTAGTATGAGTACAACATAATGAAGGACAACTGAAATGAAAGGTTAATGGAGAACATAGAAGGATTAGACTACGTTGCAATTTAGCAAAATAATATATTGATTTATTTTAATATTTCAAGAAGTTTATTCAAAAATTATGTACTAAAAATTAATTTGAAGAAAAATTTGTTGGTCAGCCAGAAATATTTTCCACCAGGTAAGCTAAAGCTGTTTGAAATAAGAAATTACAAACATAATTTCTTTGTTTGTTAGTATAATAGCAATGTATTTAAGTTGTTAATGAGTATAGCCTACTAAGTATTTTTGTGTTGTGAGTACAGTGCTTGCCCTGTGATGAAAAGATTCTTGGTCAAATCAACAGTCACTCATTTTTGGATAAAAATCATATAAATTTTAAGCAAAATAATTAAAATATTTTTCTTTTGTTTTCTAGTTGTTACTCATAATACCAGTGCCATGTCCACTTCAAAAACAATAAGCAGCAACTCAGCGGTCAATACTGACCAGAACTGTAACAAAGACAAAGCTCCTGCGATTCTCCTCAACGGAGATATCCCAGCAATGGACATTAATACAAACGGAACAGACGATATGAAAACTCAAAAAGGTATTATTCTCGAAAATGGAACAAAGATTTGCACTCCAGAACACTTCCCAAATGTACAAGAACAAAATGGACAACATGGGAATGGACCACATAATCAAGACTTTACAACTCAAACTGGAGAAATTATCGGTCAGTCCGGTGAATATACTGTTCCAACAGGCGTGTTTACGGGTACAGAATTAACAGCGCCATTTGGTTGCGGCAGGGAGTTTGTCCCGCATAATTCTTACATACTACCGCAACAGGACTATAGCCAAATTCCTCCAGATTTTCCCGTACAGGAAAACCAAGTAACAGATATGACCCAGGGTCAAATGTCCGAGATTGGTCAAGATGATGGGGGAAATCAGGTACAGGATCAGAAGTATGAATTTTATATTCATATAAAAGCAGGAGAGGCGTTCCCAGTTGGAAACGGAGAGCAAGTGCAATATATACATGGTAAGTTGAATTGCCATGTCAGAATCAGTTTAATATTCTCACGACAACCTACTGTACTGTAAAGACTATCTCTGATTATAAATCGCGTAGGACTGTGTCATACATTTTTTTAAGCAAGGTAGCCTTCCTAGGTCTAGAGTTTACTAGTTATTGCTATTTTTCCACTCGGAAGATATGCTCAACATCACTTTCTAGTAAAGATCGAATATCTTCATTAAGAATACTTGCACATCTAAAACAATGGAACTAAAGACTATAGTATAAGAAATACAATGCGCATTGGATTAAATTTATTCTAGACTAAAGCATTTATGCACACAGCAACATGAGGTCATTCCACTTAAGATACCTCAGAAGACCCTATGATTTCAGGATTGTATTATTATCAGCACTAGTATATATTTCAAATTTAAATTGACCAACATATTTATTGCCAATGCTTCTCTAATCCAAACAGATAGCATTTTTTAAAATTTAATCCGCAGTGCGAAAATGACTCAGCTTGGTGGTTCAATTAGAATCTTTAAATTAATATTTATGTATATTAAATCACTTAATCTCACATCACATGGTTTTCACTGATCTTGCAAGTATAATGTATCATGTGGTAGAACCCTATTAATAGGTCAGCGACCTGGGACCAGCTTGAAAGTTTCCCAGTCTTATTTATAAATTATTGTGTGATAATATTGATTTTTTAGGGATTATCTCAGAAAATGGTCATTTGACTGGAAAAGAAATCCGTAATTATTATGATTGATTTTGTTTTTGTACACAGTACTAGTGGTGCAGTACTGTACCTTATAAATATAATGATAATAACTGGTTCACATGTGAATTCTATGTATCGCAAATGTTACCGACAAAATACTGTACTGTAAGTCTGTCATTTGGTGCTGTGATTTTCTCCCCTGTTTATAATACAGAAGAAAGAAAATGCAGAATGTATCGCTCAACTTTTTGGCTTCTTAAATTAAACAAATATTAAACTGATCAATCAAAAACAATTCATACGCTTTAAAAATATATATATTTTTAGCTTGAAGTAAAATTTGCACTAGATAAAGAGGAATGACATGCATAATCTGCATCCATAAATAGATTTGTATCATGTTACATAGCCACTTGCTATTTTAATAGAGGAGCAAGTCATTAAGATTACTGTATACTAAAGTTGGTATCATCATGAATATGTTTCTTACTGCATCCTCATTTTCTAAATTTAATGTATGAAAGAAATGGAAGCGCCCTAATTAAAGATTTAAAGGTTTTCTACATCATCTTATTGTACCTTAATGATATTTCATTGGTTAATATGTGTTATTCCTATGTATTTATTGTAGGCCCAACGATTATTCGCCTTCTTGCAAGCTCGCCGCAGATGCCGCAGTTAAACATTGTTCACACTGGACACGGGCCTGTACCCCTCCCATCAAATATGGGCATGGCTTCCACAACCATGCCCACGAACGTTGCATTAACACCGGCAATGCAAGAGAGTGACAACTTACAACAGGGGGTGTACAACACAGGACACGGTATTGTACAACAGCAAATGTACACCCAGATGTTTCAAGGTGTTCAGATTTATAATCAGATGATTGCCTATCCTAATATACCCCCTCACATTCCCCCTCATGTAACACAGAATCAAGCTGGTATGAGACCAATGCAGCCACACGTTGTCATTCCGCGGTTCACACACCGCCAGCATAGTCCACCTCAATCGAATGATCAGAGCCATTTACAAGGTAAGTACATCTTACACAAATTTTACGATTTAACAAATTGTTTTACATCTCAGATTTTTATGTGATATTCAAATGTTGTAGGAGATTTCTATTCTTTTCTTAAATTTTACAAAATTTTTGAGAAATGCTGGTTGTCACCACCAAACTCAATGTGAGTACTACTATTTTCATGGTTGCTATAGCAAGCAGTCTATAGACCAAGTAATATTGTAGATATAAAAGTGAACTACCAGTACATTAAAAACAAAAACTTACCAACACCATTACATTTTATGGCTTGTTCTCAGAACAGTGGTCAAAAACAGTGATGGTAGAAAAGTTTGAAAATGTAGAAACTAAATACAATAATAGTATGAATACTGATAATGAGAGAAAAACGGTAGGAAATAGCAGGTGTCTCAATTTGGGAGAAGTCCCTTCCACGAGATTTTGGTTTAATGAGCTTTTTTGAGCACAATTTTATTGTACATAATGATACCACTGGCCAGCTAAATTCAGGAAGAAAATCATTAACAAAATTGTACTGTAAAAACAAAAAACATTAAAAGTTTGCGAAAGATGCTACATTCTGGGAGATTTTTGATTGCTTATGTCTGGAAGTCCCCGCTGATTTCTGAAAGTCTACTGCAACTCACAGGAGACTTTGGAGCTCTGGTAAGATCAGACATTTTTTATACCCTGTTTTGCGAACTTATTTTTTTAAAGTTCGTCAGAGGAGGGCAGGAAAAAAATTTAATTTTGGTTTTTTCATTTAGTAAATATTTTTGCCAAAAACATCCAGATATAGGAGAAAATAAAGTTCTATTGGTGAATGTAAACAGTGTAGAAATAGGATGCTTAAATGCCTTAAATTTATAATTAGTCAGTCTATTATAGAACAATATAAATTAAATGACACTATATTGTTAGTTTCAAAAGTCCTACAGTCATTTACATTATAATTAGGAAGAAATATACACATCTAAGTTTTGGAGATTTCAAGGCAGTAGCGGGATAATAAAAATTTTAAACATTTCTATTTTTTTGTTAATTGTCCATAAATAAATTTTATTTTTATTAGAAATCTTTGGTGGTGGGTGGAGGATTCGCTAAACAAGGTATAAAAAACGTCTCCCCTTATAGTTAAAGAACAGAATGATTTGCAAAGTTGCTATTTTTTATACTGGTGTAAATAATGTTTTTAGACATTTTATATATTATTATTATTAGTCATTTTTTACATGGATATAATCGTGGTTTGAGTCGTATAACCTTGAATCGTAGAAGTGGTTTGGCGCAGTGGGAACGGTTTGGTTTCCCAACCTCACGGTCGGGGTTTCAATCCCTCGCTGTGCATTTCGCTTGAGCAAGACACTTTATCTGCATTGCTTCTCTTCACCCAGGAGTATAAATGGGAACCTAGTGGGGTTACCTGCTCCTGCGCTGATTGTCAGCAGCAACACTTAGCATGTGGACCAAATGACCAGGGAAAAGAACTTCAGCGCTTCGTAACTGAAAAGAAAGGCGCTATACAAATAACAAGTAACAAGTAACAACTCATTTCATAGTTCAGTCAACCTATTTGTTAAATAATTATCTGTCATTTGTACTGTATTTAATCATGGTACTCACCATTCATTCATAAATTAACGACCCAAGCTGGTGATAATTGACTAATGATGCAAGATGATGGTAATGAATTAATGACCCAAGAAGAAGATTGTTAATTGTGAGACACTATGGTGATAACTAATCAACAGTCCTTGATTAATTGTGAGGCACTATGGTGATAACTAATAAACAGTCCTTGATTAATTCTGAGACACTATGGTGTTAACTATAATCACATCCTAGAATTCTTGATAACAATAACAATTTTACGTGTTATAATAATATCCTCCTAGCCAATGCCGTAGCTAGCTGTTGGGATAGCCCTACACAATTTTGGGTCTACATTTTAAAAAATGGGTAATATTATGCTGTTTTACATATGCACAAAATGGGTCCATATTTCTCATATTTTGCATAAAATGAATCCAAATTTTTAGATAATATTTTCAGATTTTTCATATTTTTACGTAAAATGGGTCGACTTTCAACAAAATAGATCCACATTATTGAATTTATTTATTTGATATTGTCCCACACTGTATGAAAATCCTGGCTATAGCATTGCTTCTAACATATCTTCATTGGTATGCAGTGTGCTTGGATAGCAGACATGAAACATTGTAGAAAATGTCCCACAAAGTGTTGTCTTAGCGTTCTTGATTAAAATAGCAGTTGATCTACATCAAATTGTCTACCAACTCAAAGGGATGATGGTCTGTTCAAGGGGATATCTTCCCCTTGCACTAAAAATAAATGCGTGTTCACTACACACAAATCGCTGTATAATACTCAAGATAATTGCATCTAAGTGGGTGGTCGTTTGAGCGTACTGTATTTACTGTAGATATTCCTAAGTATCTTGTTATATTGAAACTATCTTACAAGTACTTTCTTAGGGTCATTAATGTAAATTCAAAGACCTACAGTATCCAATCAACACATTATTTGGTGATCAAAATTATGACACATGATCTAGGTGTAAGTAAAAGTAAATTTGCAGTTCAAGCAGTTTCGGTAAAGTATGTACTGGTGAATTCTGCAAAAACTTACAGGTTTATTTTTAGCTTGAATGTGAGGATGATATGTTCACTGTAAACACTTAGCTCTTCTCGTTAAAAGATGTAGTCAAGTTCTATAACATTCACATTGGCCTTAATGCATACTGAAGCAATGGTTAAACATCTTGACAATATGATAACATTTTCAGCCCTGAAGCTGAAATAAAAGGAGAACAACGATCGAATTTGACCGTACACTCAAGGATACCCATGGGTCAGTGCGCATGCTCTGTGCGCACATGAGATTGTAATGATGAGGCTTTACATAAAGATATACACAAGGTTTTGTGCTGTATAGTAACTCAGCCAATTACCAGCAAGAAATCAGAATGTTTATATTTTTAACTGACGTATGCATTAATGATGTCAACCCGTGGAATGCCATACGATCAATAGAGTACTTTGGAGTATGCAGTACCTTGGAGCTACTTAAGTTCATAGATGTGTTTGAGACCTAGATTCTCAACCTACGATCTAGGAATATCGGTCAATTTCTGTGTTGACATTATGATCCAAATATGTCTATTGCAAGGCAATTCAGCTTAAAATTCATGTTCTATCCTAATTGTTTAAATTATTTCTATTTTTTATAATACCTTTTAATTATTGAATTATCCTATAATAAAGCGTTTTTGATAATTTTAATTTTAATGACTTTTAGTTATAATTTTATAACAATTCTCTGTAATTTTTAAATTGTAAATTTTACTGTTTTTCCTTAATTTTTCTTTGATGTGCTGCTTTCTTTCATTTGTTTGACTTTCTTTTGTAATGAACAATTTTAATGTAATTGAATTATTGGTAAGATTTGCTATTTTTAGTGGTTAGGGTTAGTGAAATTTTCAATGTTTCTTTCTGTCTTGAGGATTCCAATGGAAATAAGTTTACTTATAAACTTTCTTGGGTATATCCCTCAGTTTATTCAGTTGATATTGTTCTTTGTACTTTTTATCTGTTTCTGTACTTTTGTATTGTTTTGTTTTTATCTCTCTGAATGAACTGAATAAACTGAAATGAAATATTTCTTTCTTGGGAGAAATACAACCTGTAAAATAATGGAATTGTCTTACAATTACCCTGTAGCTATCCAATTCTAAGAAATAGTGAAATAATATTACAAAATGTTAAAGATTAACATTTTAATGGATTACAAAAATCTTTGTGAAATTATAAAAACGAATGTTGGTGCTCATGTTCCATTCTTTCACGTAAGCTTATGTATTCAAGGCACAATACAATCAAGTTTTTTATGAAATGTAAATTTGTGATTTGATATAATAAGGCCAAATATGATGACATTATTCATGTCACGATCCTCTCATACATCACCTCATTTGACTTCACAGGGAAAAAATGCCCAGAACATCCGAAATATCAAACTTAATAAATCCAATTATCCCATTGCAGGATCTGAGATTTTTTTTTTGTTGGTAAAGGGAGACTGCAAGGGCAGTCGGAAACCTGTAGTCCAGCAAGAGTGGGTTAAAGGTCAAGGATTGGGATATTCTTTTACATATTGATTGGGTAAAGCTCCAGAGTTTCAGCCATTTTAATCTTGTATAAATGATTTCACACTTAAAGGTTCTTTGACTATAGCTCAGATGGGAGGGTGAGGTTTAATGAGGGGGCTTATACACAGAGGGGGGGGGGGGAAGGTATTGGCATTTATTTGAGGGGTAGTTTATTCTAAGGTGTTTTTTGTTTTTATTTTAAGGTGTTTACTGTATTTGTTTTTGGTGTAAATTGGATATGTACTCAAATAAACTCCCCCATTTGTGATATGATTAAACGATGTTTAATCATGTTGGTTCCGTAATTTTGTTCATCCAATCATTTGGAGAGGGGAAGCAATTATTCAAAAAAAAAATAAACACCCAAGAGATGCATTTCTTTATAGTGGGCATTTTTTTCGAATAAATATTGTAGGCCTAGATATGTGATCGTGTGTTGTGGATGATTTGATGGCAAAACCAAGACTAGGAATAGTGCATTAACATTACCAAAAAAAGGCTAAGAGTCTCCTATTAACGAGTTATCTCCTCCTCCTAAATAACCATGTTAGCTACGGTACCTAATAGTAACATGGTTGTCACAGTGTCGAATAGAGACTTGCTTGCATTACAAATTTCAGTGTCGTAGGTTCTATTTTTGATAATGCAAGGATAATCCTCATGGTTAGAAAAAGCTGCAATCCCTAAGCCCCTAGCAATAAGACATCTCATTTCTGTTCCATAATTGGCAAGTTAGTTTCTGCTGATAGATAGGAATTAATTTTAAACAAAAAGTCTAATCGATCAAGGATAACGCAGTTTTTGATTGACAGTTTAATCTTGATGATGGGTAAACCACGTT